TTTGATGTTGGACTAGATATTAAACTCGCGATTCTTTTCAACCATATTTTACTTAGAATTTTGAAAGAAACCAGTCAGGTAAGGCGAGCTGTTTTTCCTTCTAACTGGCTTAATTAGGATTCTAGTGTTGATTTGGAATGTGACCAGGATGTCCTTTCCAAGTAAGTTTTGTGTCTTTTAGAACTCAAATAGAGCCTAATAACGAAAGACACGCCGGTCGCTTCTTCTTATTTTGTTTGCTCCTGAAAGGAGTGAACATCCAAATGGAATCCAGGGAAAAACACAATTCCAGTTCTATTGGCTTGCAAGTTTAGATGTTCAGGCTTCAAGTTCCGGCAGGACTTTCACGATATTTCAATTGAACACAGTGTTTTGTTTTAAAATAGGAAGTCCTTTCCAAGCAAGACTATAACTAGATTCAATTTGAATATTATTAACATCTAGGGAGGAAACACAAGCTGGTTGTTTGGAAGTTCGTTTGAACCGACTAGCCCAGGTTCATCGACGTGACACGCGAGGACACCGTCGAGCAGGCACGGCTGCGCATCAAGGAGGAGCGTGTGCTGAGAAGGAAAACCAACTAGCACTCAGTTGTTCAGTGGCACCCTTTTTCAATTTTTCTTGGGTGGCTGCCCCACTAAAAATGGTCTTCCCAAAAAAGGGTTCCCTTTTTTTCCAGGGTCACTGAACAACTGAGAGCAGGGATACAGGGGGAGCCAGTTGGATACGGAAGGATTCCCCCGTTTGATGCACCTCGACTCAGTTTGATATTGGCGCCAAGGGACTCCCCCCGTATCCCCGCTCCCTCCGTATCCCCGCTTGTTGGTTTGTCCAAGAAAGGCTTCAGGAATCGAGCAGCGCACGTTTCACTCAAGGACTGCTGGTTCTACCAAGAGGGTTGTAAAGGTTAGGACAGCAATAGACGTTGCTATACACCCCCCAATAAAGTCAGGTAGCAAAACATTCTATTAAAATGTCCAATCGGGTTTTGGACGCTCAATTGGGTTTCGGGCCTGTGATATCAAAGGGATCTCCTTTTCTGGGGTCTCTTTTTTAAAGACACAATATGAAGCAGAACCTGAAGTGAAGTAGTTGGAGTAGTGAAGTAGTTGGAGTCAACACTTTGGTACCACGTTGCGCACATTTTGATTTCAAGCACGAAAGGCTTGTACAAAGCGTCCAATCTCCCTATTTTGATTGCGAGGGATTCCACCGATTCGGGGGTAAAACGGGCACGCTTCCATGCAGGTCCGGCACGTGATCCTTCATTTCAGGCTTTGGAATTGACATGGCAGATCCAATTTGCGGACAGCTTCGACCACCCCCCCCATTTCAGGACATACCATGTCACCTTTTACCCAGCAGTACTCAGCTGGGAAGCGCACCCAACAGGGGGAACCCATTCCATTTGGAGATAGGAACACCCATTTGTATACGGAAGATTAAGGGGCAAACACAAATTGGATACCACCGGTTGCAAACCCAAAAAAAGGGATCAACCCAAAACGGGGACCACCATGATACATTTTGCCATTCCACATATGTGGAAACAATGTTGCAACACCGCCCACTTGGAGACGAAGGGACAAATCAGTCGTTTGGGGACTCAGTTGGAGCACCCGCTCGATTTGGGAAGGGACATACCGCTGATTTGGAGGCCCATCCCCAATTTGTGCAAGGATGTTTTGCACCATGCGAAAAATACCAAGGAACCAACCACCCGTGTGAAGACATAAAGGGGCACACCCATCTGTAAATGCCTTTTTCTCCGCATCGGCCATTTTAGAAGGTTTGAATAAGCATTAGAGTTAGGCCTAGATCAATTTCTATAACCATCTTAGCACCAACAGTGCGTGGGAAAACAGGGTCTCCCACTCACATCTCCGGGGTCTTGTCAACGCTTTTTTTTTGGTGTTCGACGTGGGCTGTCGAGGAGCTCGACAGCGAGGGCCTGGAGTTTGTGGCTTTGGTGAACTGCGCCGGGGTCACCCGGCGTCTGCCGATTGAGCTCGAGGAAATTGAGGAGCCTTTGGGGCGGGGGGGGGGGGGGATTTTGACCTCGGAAGTTCCGTTGGTTTTGTTGTCTAGGTCCCCCAGTAGTACCCTTCTTAACCCCTTTTTGGGGAGGGTTCCCCTACTAAAAAAAACTCCAGAAACATGTTGGTACCCTTATTCTAACCTCTCTACTGGAGGACCTAGTTGTTTTTCCTGTGGGTATACCCTTTTCAACACGTGAGTATGGGTCAAAATTAAGCCACCAGGGGACCGCAGGTTTTTAGTCCATGTTTCCATTTATCAGGGTTCCATTTTGGGCACCTATTTTTGACCCACAGCCGCTTGAAGGGAAAACGCATAAAGGAGAAACAGGCACAGGGGAGAAGAGGACAAACTCAGAATTGCATGGAGGACACGCCCAATTCCATTGATCTGGGCGAATCACAGCGACGTCACGCTTCCGGGTTTTGCGAGGTCCATGATAAAGCGCTCGTTTTCCCGAACAGGGTATTTAGTCCGTCGAACACACCACACAATGCTGGGGCTTGTTGGTTCGTTTGAGCATCGCCGTTTGGACCAATGTGAACCAATTTAATGCTTTACAGTAGGTGGGGTGATCTTTGGTATGATCAATAATGGAACTTTTTCAACATAACTGTTTCCTTCGAACTATCAAGCAGCTTGAGTTTACCCAAGAACAACCCAGACCCCCATGGGAGTCAAATGGCCCTCAAAGCAGCCCCCACCGGATGTCACTGAACAAACCATTTGGGGGGGTGGTAGAATTCCGCTTGACCTGTCACCGCCTAGGGTAAACCTTGAATCTTTGGTATGGGTTCGCTAATCCAAAAGTTTCGCTTCACCACCTTCCATTTACTTAACAAAGCAATTGTTTATGTTGCCCCTTTTGGTTGTAGAGGGACTCGATTTCCCTGGACAAATTATATGTTCTCACACTTTTTCAGGGGACTCTACGAAGCAGCTGGAAGGGCGCTCGCCACCCTCGTTCGGTTTTCTCTCGCGTCAGGCGGTGAGGCAGCTCTACGAGGTGAACGTCTTCGGGGTGCTGAGGGTGACCCAAGCCTTCGTGGACTTGCTGCGCCAGTCGGAGGGCCGCATCGCTGCTCGCCCGCCCGCGACACCGCGTTTCGCGGCGCGTTTTGCGCTTTTGGCGCGTCAGTTGGTCGTATCGCGGGTCTGCGAGATGGGTGGCTCAGTCTTTTTGGTTGGACCCCCCTCTCAAAAACGAAATAACAAATAAATAAAAACTTTTCTGTTATATCTTGGGTTGACGAAATTAACACCAAAAGGTTGATTTAATTTTGACCCATACCCATATGATGTTTGGTGTATTCTGAGGTTGGGCCTCGAGCAGGGTTGGTTTGGTGGGCTTAGGGTTTCTCTTTGGGCGGTTGGTGGGGAGTTGCGGAGGGGGGGAGGTTGGGCGGGAGTTGGGGAGTGGCTTGCGGGCCGGGGAAGCTGGGGACACAGAGGTGAGGCGATGTGGGGTTTCCGGTTAAGCGAGTTAGGCAAGGCCCGTTAGTGTTGGGGCAGGTTGGTGGACAAAAGTCAATCCCACGTCGTGGTCCTAAAGGCTTGGCGGAAAGGGTCACGTTTAAATGGGCTTCCAGGGTTGGTTCAGACCTTCAATGCCTGAAAAAAGAGAGACCAACAAGGAGCTGGCCCGCTTTGGGTATGTTTCTCCTGGTACCTGGGCCTGTCTTCTCTAAGGGTATCCTAGGTTTGATTGCTTCAAAGGGACACCGAAAGGACCACCACCATTTTGGTCCCCTAAAAACACACACACACACACACCCAGAGAAATACACATATATTCCCGGTTGTTTCCAGTCAGCTGTGCCAATTCCCATTCTCTTGAGGAAAGGTCCTCTTCAGAAAGCCGGCTTGGAGCCGGGAAAGTCTTGGCAGTTCTGACTGTAAGGATGGTTGAAGGCAGAAGAGAAAGGGGAATTAGTATCTTGAAAAGAGTCGGATGCGATTTTTCTGGATTTCACTTGTTCTTCCCCCTGTTGGTTCTTGTTTTGTAACCCTTTAGTACTCTTTTAATATCCTACATGGGGTGGATCCACAAAAGTCACATCCAAACCGTTTCCTAGAGGGTAGTGGCTGGCTGTGCTCGCAAAGTTTGTTGCCAGACCAAGCAAAGGGTCCCACCCTTTGGCCCCGGCGTGCGCGGGAATTGTCACATGAGCACCCGACAAGTGGTGGCTTCCGGGCTCAAGAAGCCAGCAAAGGGCTCCCTCAAAAACTTTGACACACCTGGTTCGGGTAGGTGTCTAGGTCCCCCAGTAGTGCCCTTTTACCCTTTGTTGGGGGATGGTTCCCCTACCAAAATAGACTACAGAAAAAGTCGGGTACCCTTATTCTATCCTCTCTACTGGAGGACCTAGCTATTCTCCTAGGCTCCCTTAAATGCAGCGAGGTGAACATCGGCTCGATTGCGGCGCTGCTGCCCCACAAGGGTAGCAGCAGCTATAGCGGCTCTAAGGCGCGTTTCGGGGGCGGGGGGTGGGGGCGCAGAGCTGCCCCAGGTGTTATTTTTGTTTGCTGGGTTCAATGAACCCATTAGTTAGTGTTGCTGTTTTGACCCAGTTGAATGGACATCGGAGGTTTACTTGAAAACAACTTCTCAATTTAGATACACATCTTGTGCGGGTGCATTTTGACCAACCCGGTTCTCAATATGACTTGTCTTTTTTCTTTTTCCTTTGAACCACCGCGTCGAGGGGAATCTTGAGGACGTCACTTTAGTGGACCCAGTTTTGCTCATCTCCCCCCGGTGTGGACCAAGGTTGCGCCATTCTCCATTTTCACGATCGGGGCAAAGGGCGTCTGTTTCGGACAACCACAACGTGCTAACCAGCCCATGTGCTTCTTGCTTTTCCGAAAGAATAACCAGGGATGGGGTTTGAGGTTTTTCCAGAAAAACATCCATAAAAACAGGCTGAGTTCGGAGTTTGCGGTGTTTCTGGGGTTTCGGGACCTGCCTTGCATGGAAGGCATCTGGAGAATCCTCAAGGTGAGGTTTGCTTCCAAAGTGGAGTTGCTTGAGGTTCGGCCAGAGTTCTAAATATCAACAAGAAAAGCCTGGCACAAGCCCTCAATTTCCAATGTCTTCTTGGGCAAGCATTCGTAATCTTGATCATGGCTCACACGGGAAAAATAGGCAATCAGGAGGTATATAAATGTGTGTTATTTTTTTGAGGGTAGCATGCTTGGTGCTGGTTTAAGGGAAAGCCGAAAGGAAACACCACTATTTTGGGGGGGTCCACATGATGTTGTAAAAGCTACCCTTTCCCAAAGCCCCGGCCTTCTCCAAAACTCTTTTATAGGATGGACTAAATATGAAACAGAATCTGAAGACATGGGTAAAGGGAAGCCCCACCCCTTTTCCCAGGGTACCCTCTAAACATATGTATATATATATGCTAAGCCCCCCTTCCAAAACCTACCTGTTCTCCATCAAACACAACCCAAAATCTCATTGTTGGTTGTTGGGGGCCTACCCTGTCTATATGTATATATATGTATATATATATATATATATATATGTATATATATGTATATATATATATATATGTATATATATATATATGTATATATATATGTGTATATATATATATATATCTGTATATATATATATATTGTTAGGCATAAACCACTGGACAAAAACACAGGTCAAACGCTTATTTACTTTTATCTTCATCTTATTTTACTTTATGAGAAGTCTCTCTTTTTCATTATATTTTATAATATTTACATCTAGTAGATTTAATGGTTTTTATCTGTGCTTTTGGTTTCTGAATATGTTTTTCTTATATTTGGATAGGTGGTCAATTTCCTGTAGACAACTTTCTATCTTATGGTCGTATCTTGACATGTAATTATTATTATATTCTTCTCTGTATCGTATTAATTTGTTATCTTTTTATATCTCCAGTTTGTATCTTTTCAACCTTCCAAGATAAGAAGAGAACCCACAATTAATACTATAAATAATAAAGACACCAACTATAATTCCAGAAAATACAGTAGAAATAGATACGTGACTGGAATTAGATTGGCGGGGGGGTTCCATACATACATATCACCGATGGCCGTCGCTGGAGCCGGTCCCTCGGTGAGGCGGCCTTGGATTCCATCACGGACTCGTTGCGCATGGAGCTCTCCCCGTGGAATATCTCGGTGAGCGCCGCGGCGTGCGAGGTCCGTTGGCTGGGAACGCCTCAAAACCGAAACAAACAATGGGAAGATGGGACACCCCCCAAATTCGGATGGATTTGTTTTCTCGTTGTCCGAGTTACTGAACATTCCCTGGGTGGTGATGTGATTTAAAGAATGTTGAGGGTAGGTGGAGGGCACAGGGTTGAGGATAATTTGGCTTTTCCAAAAGGAAACCCAAAGGGAATGGCTGCCTTTGATTTTGCCAGACATTAGACTCACGAGCCGCTGGATCGCCTTTGCCTTACTTGTCGAGGCCCTAGAGCTTGACAAGCTTTTTGGGCATCCTATGTTACCGCAGATGTCGGGGCCAAACGGATTCACTTCCTGAGTTTATTAACTTTTTGGGAAGACCAAGTGGGAATCAAACAGTTCATATACTTTTTGGGCCAGTCCACCCGCCGTCGAAGGGGTTCTAATCAACGACGCCCGAGTGCTGCACCCAAGGACAATCATGTATGTAGCATCCCCATTTGTTAGAACTCGTTTAGGGTCACCCAAATGGATTCCGTTTCAAGGCATGCCAAACTTCTTCCAACACAACCCTGACTGTACTGGCCCTACTATGTCTTTGGCCTCCGGTTTCATCAGAAAGTACCTTAGGTTCCATGATGTTGGTGGGGCCCAGATCATTTTCGCGCTCCCCGAGTTCCTGGGCTCTACTGGGGAAAGAAATATAATGGGGTTGTGTGGAAGACTTTGGATTCCGAGGCCGCTGATTCCACAGGTCGGATTTTCCTTCCCGGAAGTTTGGTGACTGGAGGCCAATCCGCAGAACTGATTTTGATGGCTTTCTTGGTTGGGATCCTGTCCAGGGCACTTTTTCCCCGGATCGACACTTGGAGGTCATTGATGCGGGTCCATGCAGGCAGGGAGTGTCCCCTTTCTGTTTGATCAACACCTGGCTAGCTCCGGTTAAGGGCAGAGTCCGACCATATCCGCCATTTTAATTCTTTACATGGATTTGGGGACAGGTGTCGATTATGAGTCCCTTGCGGCATTTTTGGGTGGTATTTATTTGTCACAGGTCTCTCGGGTTGGTCTCAGGGCCCCACAAGATTTGTGGTATCCCGTTTGATTTCCCTTTGCATTATTCCCCAAACGTCACCAAGCCGCAAACAAGCCGACACACCCAGCGGTTCCGGAGCCGGAAGCAGGAGCGATCAAAAACGATCTACCTCGCTGAAGGGTCATTTCAACCAGACACCCTCCAAAAATGACACTCCATGTAGTGCAAGCCCTCCCCCCCCCAAAGTGCCCCAAAAAATCGACCCGCCCATGTTTCCAGTCAATCCAGCTGGCGTGGTTAGTTGCGCTTCCAGGCATGATCCAGCCCGGGTACGTGAGGACGCCCTTCGCGGAAAAGCAGCTGGAGGCGACCAGCGAAGCATGGAGAAGGGCCGATCCCGCCACCAGGGCGAAGTATCAGGAGATTGGGCGAAAATCCCGTGCTCCCAATATGTCCATCTTCGCTGGGTTTCTATATATATATATGTATATATATATTGATATGAACAGAAAGATCACCTGTTGGGCCCAGAAAATGAGTTTTCCTTGGGGACATCCAGCCGGCTGCTCCGAAAGGGACGGAGGTAATGAGCCGGGGAGCAAATTATTCACGGGGTTATGTATGTTCCCAAAAGGCAGCCAGCAAACAAGCAAACGAGAGGTTTCCCAAAATACGTTCCTGGTCTTCAACCGGTGATGGTGATGGGGTCCTTTTGTTCATCATTTCCTGCTGAATCCAGAGTGATCCCTGGATTACTTGTACTCGTATTTTCCTGCAGGGTTCCCCTACAGGACATGGGAAAATAAATCAAGCCCCTGGTGTTTGCAGAAATTTAGTGAGTCCACAGCGACTAGTCACTATTTTGACCTTCCAGTGTCCTCTTGAACATTTATCAGGCATATCACGAGTTAATTTTGTTCATCAGGCATAGGATAAAGACATAGCCAAAAACATAACTATCAAGGGATAGCATGCATCTTGGGGTGTTCCAAACCTTTGTTCTCTTTGCTTTGTGGTTTTCTGGAAAGGACCCCTCACACACACAACCGGGGGATGTGAACCAGGAACAAAGAAGCCACAAAACTTTGGGAAGAACTCGAGTTCTCCAAGCAACACCAAAACCACGCCAACAAAACAGAACGAAGACAACCTCCCAAACAACAGCTACGCCAACAAGTACCAGGCCCTCGAATGCCAATGTCCCCCCCAACAAAGCCCAAAGCAGCAAATTTAACACGCTGTCGGGGGTTCCTGGTACAGTGGATGCCCTGTTGCAAGTGAGGGAAGGGACCCCCCAATGTTGCATAAAGCCATGACATTGCGATGTGTGCTTAGCCTATTTGCAATACAGGGGCATGGTATGGTTGGCCCTTTGGCCGGTTCCGCACTGTTAGGCCGGGAGCCCAACATCAGTCAACTCGAGGGGTTGTATTCCCATATATATATATATAGATACATATATACATATATATATATACTTGACACGTACATCCGGATATTGCCTCAAAACTAGCTCTGGGGTGAATTTCCCCCATGTACAAGCTCAGTTTTGCGCGTTTCTGGGGGTTGTTCCCCACGTTTCGAGGGCCGTGTTTCGTTTTTTTCTGCTGGGCTTCTCCAGCCTGAAACTTCTGGGGGGAGAAACGGCTCGGGGAAACGGCTTGGGGGGGCGGCTCGTTTCACGGGAGGACACGATGAGCGGCTGGGCGGCGGGGCGCATGGAGGCCCACGAGCTGGCGGACGGCCCGGACCTCGTGACCCAGGCGGGAGCCGACCGCTCGCGGAGCCGATCGCCGGGACCGGGTTCCGCCCCGCCGAAGCGGAGGGCGGGGAGGGAAGCGGAGAGGTGGACGTGGGGAGTTTTGTTGGTTTTGGGTGCGAGGCATGGAGAATCCAGGAGGTTGGGAGGGAAAGAGCCAAGGTCTCCAAGGTTGTTTTTTGGGGGGAGCCGAACTCGGAGCTACTAGGAGTTCTGGAAGGAGATGGTAGTAGAAACTGTGTAGTTTATCCAAGAACGAAGGGGCAACCATCAGGAGACCGCATAGTTTTTTTTGGTTGAAACACTTACCCAACATGAAGGCACAACGGGAGGGGTAACTTCTTTGGTCTTCTCCAGACCTTTTGCTCACCCAGATTATAAGCGGGGGTGGGGCAGGGGGTTTGACAATGGGGTTGGCTCACACTTCTGTACCACGGGGACCCCCGTTTCAAGATATGGAACATGCGTCAATTGGAAGGCGTGATGTCCATGGTCAGTGGTTATGTGTTTTGTCTTCCGCATTTTCAGGGCCGGTGGTTGTGAGATCAATCCCTGGAATAGAGTGGCGGGGATGGGAATGCATCGCTGATGTGTTTTTTTTCTCCAACAGCAACCCGGTTGTCGGCCAAGCGGCATGGCAGGGCTTGCACAAGGTTTGAGTCGCTGAAATATTCGCTTTCGGAAGCGGCATGAGGGTAGAATGAAATTGGGGCTGAGATGGACCCTTTTGTGACAGGAAAAGCCCATGAGGGTCATATCATAGTCATAGTCATGGGCTGAGATGCGCCAGCCTTAGAGAGCTCTTGGGGATTTTGGAGCCGAAGTTCGGAGCACTTCCTTCGTGAAACGGGCCACAGGGGCCCTCCGGCCAAAGTTCAAGTCGGGAGTTTGGCCTTCGAGACAGCGTTGCTGGATCTGCCTCCATTTCCTTTTTGGGATATTTGGCTTGCTTTTCCTTGGCTTCAAAGGGAATCGACTTCACCGCTGGAACCACTGTGGTCGTTTTCTGCTGGCGACAAAGCAAATGGACGTCTTTGATAGCAAAGTGATCGACTTTTCTTTGGTATCCCTTAGGGTTTGCATTTTGTCACTTTTGCCCGGGGGATTTCGGAGCACGTTTTTGTTGTCGGTTGGTCGTTCCCATCTGGTTCCGCCTTAGGCGATCCTCGATGCGCTCATGAACCCCCACCCCAAGACGCGGCTTCCTGGCTGGGGTTGGGCCATGCGGCACAGACTCACCCTGAAACATACTGTGGATGGTTGAGAAATCTATTCGCACCACGGTTCATGAAACCATGGTTGAAGCATTGGTTTGTTGGTATTTACAGGGGAATCATGCATTCCAGGGTTTCTTTGGCGGTGCGAAATGGATTTTGTCCATCCACAGTAGGACACCCCATGTGAGTCACTTGGTGAAAACCCGAGTGATTGGAGGGTGGTACGGGACAATCCCAGCTATAAACGGGTGCGGATATATCCGTCCTTTTAAAGTTCTTGAAGCATGGTTCTGGGATTACGACCGTTTTAATGCCGGTCGGTTTGGATTGTGGCTCATGTTGCGACAAAGTTTTAGAGTTTTGCCGGGTCGCGCGGGAAATGGGATAGGAACCCCAAACCCCGAGTTGGGTCGATTGATGGGTTTGACGCTGGAGAACCGACGGTTCAGGGCTTTCCTTTTTTTTTGGTCTTCTTTTTTTTTCTCTGCAATATGTATAGGGCATCCACCGTACGTCCTTCAGGTGTTGGAATTATTCAAATCGCAGATGGCTTTATAGAGTTACCAAGAGATTAACGATTTGAAAAGCTCTGAAGTCTTTTCAAGTTTTTGTATCATCGAGGGCCACAATAATTTGAATCTTTCATTGCCGGTCGACCCAGTACCTCAGCAAGTCACAAGCCAATACTACGCACTAACCCACCTGGAAGCAAATGAGCTAGTCGTTAGTGGGGTCAAAGACTGTTTTTTACAATTGATTTTGTTCTTCCATCCAAGATTGCTGGACAATAAATGTAAAGTAATAATATTTGAGATTAATATAAGATGTCCATCCACTTCCTTTCCTATCTGTTCACCTTCCTTCTTGTCTAGATTCTTTATCATATTATTTGTTTCTATATGTTGCAATGACAGCTGTAAGACCCTTGAAAAGTAGGTAATAAGAGAAGTCTCAGCGCTCCCATTCTCGCTTTCTATTTCCTCTTTTTGGTTTCTTCGTCATCCGGCCTCCGTTCAGAGTTGCTAAATGTTGAATAGCACATTTACCTGCTTATGTGGAGGACCCTGACCTTCGTGAACTAGGTGATGTTTGGACGTATTTTTTGGGGAAGCCTGTTTGTCCGGTTCCATTGACTTTTCCTAGAACTTCTTTAAGAACCATTTCTCAACATGTTCCTTAAAAAGCAAGAAAAACGCGAATTGTTGGAACAAGCGCTTATTTACCCCGAAAACGCAAATTCCGGTTCGACTTCTCCATGGTTGCTTGCCAGCCACTGCTTGGCCCTCATCAATTCCATGGTCAATCCAAGCCGCCGAACTCTCGACCCTTTCAACCTGTGGACCGTCATCAAAACTACCATGTTGAGTACCATTCCTCACTAGCTGTTCATGAGAGCCACGTAGCAGGCCTGGTGCCCAATCTGCAACTTGTTCAAGCGACACTGGCAAGTTGTAAGAAAGTGTTTTTTGGCCTTTCCACGGAATTCCGCCGATTTCCGCGTATTTCCCGCCGATTTCCGCGTATTTTCCGCCGATTGCGCTCCCTATTTTGCTCCCTTTAGGACAGATCGTAGGGCCCACAAAACTTAGTAAAGCGATTTGTGTCGAGCCAGCTTGCCAATTTTCTCCTCGCAGACCTGTCGTGTCGGTGTTGCCTTAGTCGAGCACTAGGCGGGACATTTGCAGGGGAAACAACATCTTGTCAAGGACACACTTCTCAAGGGAATCCTCCTTCAATGAAATCACTACTCCGGCAAGGACCCAGTGCACATTGCTTTAGCCGTGAAGTTTTTAATCAGACCATACCCGTGGTTTTTGGGCAGATTCTAGCGACCTCACTGGGCATGTGCGGCCTCACCCATGATGAAGGTTCCCGGAGTGCATTTCCTAGGTTGGCATGTGGTTCTCCGACTTGTTCGGCTGGTCCGTTTGCCTTGGTGTTTGGGTTCCCGACTACACATAAGAAAGATCGGAGTCAACATGGGGGAAGTAGCAAAGGAAGGGCTACTACCCTCTTTTAGAAGAAACGTAGAAGTGGACGGGCCTTCGGGACTGAAGCAAGTCCCAACTATTCCAATCCAACTAAGCAAAACGGCAACACCCCCCCTTTTCAGGCCCCTTTTTAACGTGCTTCATATATTTTGTCCTGCATGCGAATCCCCCGCATTCCTCCCAGGTATCAGGTGACCAACGTCCAGGGCTATCCCACATGGGTGCTGGCCCTTTTGGGCTGGTTCTTCCCAGATCGAGTCAAAGATTCCATCGTGGCCGGCTTTTGACACTCCAACTCTTTTCCCCGTTTGGTGGTTTTAAACATCACACTTTGGTGGTTCTGAAGATCACCAATATTGGTTGCCAAGAAAAAAACGAGTGTCCATTTTTTTGGGTGTTCAAAGGGGAAATGTCGAAATGTCCAGAGCCCTGTTTCAGCACTTCGCCACTGAAGAAAAAGCGTGAACTGTGCGAATGCTGCCGGGTGCTTGCAGTCGACTGAAAGACCGTTTCGCGGTTCGGATTGTCAAGGATTTCACCCAAAGGTTCCTTTTCCCGAGATCCTTTTCGAACATTTCGGTTGGTGAAATGTTTTGAAACTTGCCCAGTTGAAGACTTGTTTGGGTTCCCGTCAAGCCAATTCACGGGTTGGAAAGTACTGTATTTGTGGTCTTGCCTTGTCATTCAGGCAATTTCATGTTTGTCCTTCGTTCACGCAACAACAATCATCGGTTTTCCCTTTGGTTTCCTGTTAAACGTTTAACCCGTGGGAACCAGCAGGGACAAATTCTTGACCGCAACATGGGAAACCAGCCCGTTGGGTTTCAAATGGATTGTCATGGGCTCATAGATGTGCGCCCATGCAAGCATGTTTGGTCACTCCCTTACAATAACAAGCTTACTCGGTGAATAGATCAAGTTTCATGATTGGAGCTTGGGTGCTTTTCAAGGCCTTTCAATGCCTCTTCTCAACATCACCCCAGCACAAACCAACAATCAACATTGGCCCAAAAGGCAAGCTTTAACTCGGCCAAAACGGGACAGGTGGAACCAACATGGAATTGCCGGGGTGACCCAGCAATTCAGGCTTGAAGGGGGCAGCTTCAAAGGCTCGGTGCTTTGCGGCTTGTTTGGGCTGGTAGAACTGGCGCCTCTGGAAAAACAACAAAATTCGAAACGTGTTGCTAGTTCCAACACAGTGAACGCAGATGTCTCAGGTCTCTGTGTGGGTAAGGGGGGCGACTAAACTCAAATGAGGCAATTCTGACATCTACTTTCACCCAAGTGTAGTTCGAAACCTTTGCGATTTTCCAAATCGTTTATTGTCAGCTTCGGATTTGGACCACGGAAAGCCCTTAGTGCCTTAATGCAATTCAGGGGGAGTCCTGTGGTTAGTTCTTTCTTGAATTAGCTGCACTCTCGGTTTCATAAGCCAAGTTGAAGGCGCAACATATTTTGCTCCCGTCTCTGAAGTGGATACCTTGTCTTTCAGGACTCCATTTTGCGAATTGCCACCCTTAGGTTCGCCAGAGATGCTTTTTCTGCGTTTCAAAGAGCACCCTGTGCACAAGCCCTTGTCAACCGAACAAAGTTCAACCACTTGGTTCGCATGTTTTGTTCCGTCCTTAGTTGGAGATGAGTGGTGTTTCTCTTATTTGATTCATTTGGATTATTGTCAATCTCACATTCACTGCACAATTTTCGTGGGAGGGAAACCCTGGACAAGTTCTTGGAAAAGTGCGTTGAACCCCAGTTGAGCAGTGACCAGAACCCCTCTTAGCCGTGTCATTAGTTGGTTCTACTTACTAGCTGGTTTCATGGGGGGCGTAGTAAGGCTGATGCAAGCATGTTGGTACCACCAACTGTCAATTGGTTTTGGGCGCTGCTCAAGTGGGGTCTTAGGGTCTTGTGGTCTGAGGCGAGGACGAGGTAGGAAGCGTCTTTGCAGCTCGGATGCAGCGATAGAAAGGAAGATGGGAAGATGCGTCTGTGCGGGGCAGATGCAGGTGTAAAATGTCTGCGTTTGCATCAAAACCCGCTACCCTTGACGGTCTTAAGAGGAACCACAAAAGGAGCCGATTGGAAGAGTCCCTTGCTCTAGGTTGTGTTGTTTCCCAACAAAGCTCCGTCGAGTGATTTTTTAGTGGATCGTAGCAGGGTACGCAGCAAGATAGGAAAACACACACACACACGCATACACACAAATAGCTATATATGCACATACATGCCTACACATACACAGACATAGAGACATCCTGCACACAACATACACAGATACAGACATACAGACGCACCAACATACAAAAAGTCGCACACATGTACACAGTAGAGATATACACACGCACACACTGACGCACACAGACACGCACACCCACACACAATGCCACAGACACACACACACACAGACACACCCACACATAGACACACACACAGACACACACACACAGACACACAGACACACATGCACAGGCACCCACACACACAGACAAGCACACGGACAAACACACACACAAACACAAACACAAACAGAAACACAAACGCAAACACAAACACAAACACAAACGCAAACCCAAACCCAAACCCGAATCCAAACCCAAACCCAAACCCAAACACAAACACAAACACAAACACACACACACACACACAAAAACACAAAACACACAAAACACACAAACAATACACAAAAACACACACCAAAAAACACACAAACACACAAACACACACACACAAACACACCAACACACGAACACACAAACACACAAACACACAAACACACAAGCACACAAACACACAAACAGACAAACACACAAACACACAAACAGACAAACAGACAAACAGACAAACACACAAACACACAAACAGACAAACACACAAACACACAAACACACAAACAGACACACAGACAAACAGACAAACAGACAAACAAACGAACAGACAAACTGACAAACAGACAAACAGACAAACAGACAAACAGACAAACAGACAAGCAGACACGGACACACACACACACACACACACACACACACGCACACACACTGACACACACACACACACTGACACACACACACACACAGACACACGCACACACGCTGACACACAAACACACACACACACACACACGCTGACACACACACACACATAATGACACAGACACACACACACGCAGAAACACACACACACACACAGACACGCACACACACACACACACACATACAGACACACACACACACACGCGGACACACACACACACACACATACAGACACACACACACACAGACACACACACACACATACAAAGACACAGACACACACACAGAGAGACACACACACAAACAGACACACACACACGGACACACGCCCGGACACACACCCTGACACACAAGCACACACACACACACACACACGCACGCACGCACGCACGCACGCACGCACGCACGCACGCACGCACGCACGCACGCACGCACGCACGCACGCACGCACGCACGCACGCACGCACGCACGCACGCACGCACGCACGCACGCACGCACGCACGCACGCACGCACGCACGCACGCACGCACGCACGCACGCACGCACGCACGCACGCACGCACGCACGCACGCACGCACGCACGCACGCACGCACGCACGCACGCACGCACGCACGCACGCACGCACGCACGCACGCACGCACGCACGCACGCACGCACGCACGCACGCACGCACGCACGCACGCACGCACGCACGCACGCACGCACGCACGCACGCACGCACGCACGCACGCACGCACGCACGCACGCACGCACGCACGCACGCACGCACGCACGCACGCACGCACGCACGCACGCACGCACGCACGCACGCACGCACGCACGCACGCACGCACGCACGCACGCACGCACGCACGCACGCACGCACGCACGCACGCACGCACGCACGCACGCACGCACGCACGCACGCACGCACGCACGCACGCACGCACGCACGCACGCACGCACGCACGCACGCACGCACGCACGCACGCACGCACGCACGCACGCACGCACGCACGCACGCACGCACGCACGCACGCACGCACGCACGCACGCACGCACGCACGCACGCACGCACGCACGCACGCACGCACGCACGCACGCACGCACGCACGCACGCACGCACGCACGCACGCACTAACTAAGTTAATAACTACTAACTAACTAACTAACTAACTAACTAACTAACTAACTAACTAACTAACACACACTGACACACACACACACACACTGGCACAGACACACAGAGACGCAGACACACAGGCACACAGACACACAGACACACAGACACACAGGCACACAGACACACAGACACACAGACGCACACGTGCCCCCCTCAGGTAGGCCACCAAACAATGCTGGCCTACCGGGGCTGTCCGTTTTCGGATTCCCCGCTAAAAGTTGAAATCTTTTAGTGGGTAAAGGAAATCCCTACTAAGCACGAAAAATCCAAAAAGCTAAGGGGACGGCTGGACCAAGCTACATGAGCCACAAACATCCTGGCAGCATTGTTGATCTCGTTGCAAGGCTTCCATAGCTCAGACCGTCCCAATTCGGAATCAACCTAACACCCGCAAGGCCTCCAGGGTCAGCGCGCGTGGGTTGCTAGCCGCACGTCAATCGACCGGGGAGTAGTAACCCTGCTCCAAAGAGATGAGGCAAGTTTCCCATGTCTTGTGCAAACACGTAGTTGGATCTCTTCATGTCAATTCGGATTTTTGGACTAACTTTTTGGGAAACAGAGGATTTTCCTTTGGACCCACAAAACTTGGTGGCTCCCAGCCATCCCCTTAGCTTTTTAGCCTTTTAGTGTTTAGTGTTTGCCGGGGGATCTGAGGGCAGCCCAAAAAAGGTTTTGTAAAATGCAGGGGGTCGTTGTGGGGCTCATATTTTGCTCGCCATTCGAGCTCTAGCTCGCTCCTCGCTCAGGACAACATTGTCTTCCCCTTCGTGGTGTACTGGGCAGCTCGGCAGTGCTTGTGGGCAACAAGTGAGCCACAATCAATACCCGGGTAGATGAAGGTTAGGACAATCCCAACCATAAATAGCTGCGGCCGCCCTCTTGATTCTTTACATGGTTCTGAATAGACCATTTTAATACTGGGTTTTGATTGTGACTCAAGTGACCTCGCACGTTTCAACAGGGGGTACGTATTGGCGGCACCAGCTACAGGGACAGGAAATTGGCCAACCGAGGATTTCCCGTAGATTTTCCGGTTCATAGATTCTCCAAATGGATTCTGACCTTTGCAATTGACTCACCTCGGTGAGATCTTT